CTTTTGTCTCCAGTTTTCTTTGCTACAATTACTACTGGTGAGGCCCATGGACTTTTTGATTTTCTAATAATACCTTTGTTTTCCATGTCTTCAATTTCTTGACATAGAAATTGTTGATTATCTGGACTACATCTATATGCCATTTGTGCAATTGGTATGTCTTTTTCTAAAATTATAGAATGTTTGATAATAGCAATTCGTCCTATATCTGTTTGACTTCCAGCACACAAATCACTATTTTCTTCGAGGGTTTGTTAAAATGTATTTTGTTGATAGGTATTCAATGATCCAACTTGTAATTTAGGTTTTTCTTGTTTTTCCTTTGGTAAGTCAGCTAGATACACACTTGGATATTTATTTTTATGTATCCTTATACGAATTTCTTCCAAGATTCTGTCTGCATATTTAGTATGAGTGGGAGTTATTTCACCTTATTCTGCCATATCTGCATATTCTTCAAAACAAAATGGCCACCATTTTCCTTACTTTTCTGGTTCAGTTTGTTTAAAGGCCCAATTTGATGCGATCTTAGTGATATATATATCACAATCATAAAAGTCATCATTAAAGAGATACTCCACATCTTCAGATTTAATTGGAATGCCTGTTTCCTCATATGTTTCTCTTAATACTGCTTGAAGTGATGTTTCATTAGATTTCACTTTTCTGCCTAGCACTTGTCATATTTTACACATTTCTTTTCGTGGATTAATTTTTTGTGACATGATAATATCCTGGTGATCATACATGATACTTTGGTTGAGCATTATTTTCAACTTCGCTTAGAAATACGTCATATTCATCCAAGTCTTCTTCCTCATATTCATCTAAGACTTGATCTAAGTTTTCTCTCTCATTTACCATTTCCTCTTCAAAAAGGATGTTAAAAGTAGCTCGTTTAGTGACATATGAAATAGAAGCAGTTTGTATACTAAAGTCAAGATTCATTTTAGTTTTTCTACACCAATCTACTCCTAACAACAATGTATCCTGTGGTGATTCAATTACTTGAAGTTCTACTGGAACTGATACATGTTGTATAATTATCCTTGCTTCAGTAATTTGTCCTAATGCTCTTACACAACTTCTATAAGCTGTGGTCACAATTAATTTAGAAGGTTTATCAATATTAAGTCCCAACTTTTTAGCTAACTTGTTGGTAATAATGCTGACAGCTACTCCTGTATCAATTATAGCTTCGATGGAATTATTCTTAATCTTAATATATGCTTTGCAGAAAGTTGTTTTCTTTTCTGATTCATCATCTATGAATTCTAAAGAATTAACACTAAGTGTTGATATAAGATGACGTCTTAAGGCATTTGCTAAATTCCTCCTTTGGGCTGGTATTTGTAACTATTGTCTTAGGGTCGTAGAAGATTGTTTTGATAGGATATTATCAGCTATATTATATGGTACAAGATTATCAATTCTGGAAGGATTTCGTGTTCTTTTAACTGATTTTTGTTTAGGAGTGAATTCTACTTCCATTTCAATTGGATTAATGATATGAGTTCTAAGATTCTTTTCTTTATTCGACTCAGAAATTCTAGTCATTTCTTTTTGTCATGTTCTTGCATTCTTTCTGTTAGTAGTATATGGTCGAGATCTTTCTCCTACATATACTTCAGATGTTTCCTCTTCCTCTTCGTCATCAGTAAAAACTTTAATTAAATTAACATTTCTTGGCTTCATTTTGGAAGATCTTTCAGATAAGCATTCCCTAGAATAATGACCTTTTTCCTCACATCGCCAACAAATTACTTGGCTTTTGTCAAAAGGTTTTCTGTCATTATTATTCCTTGTAACATTTGTACTTTTAGGTTGAATATTTGCAATCCTTGGAGTCCCATTTTGTGCTGCTAACACATTGACAATATTTGCATAATTAAGGGAAAGTTGTTCCATTTGCTTCGTTAAAGCTTCAATTGCATTATTATTAGTGACTTATGGAGATTCTTTCATGTAATATATTTCTGCTTCAGTTGCTCTAGCTTCATTCACAGCTGCTCTAAGATTACCAGGGTCTGCCATTGCGACTCTTGCTGTAATGTTAGGTTTTAATCCATTTAAAAATAATCTAATTTCATAATCATGTGGTAAATGATCACCTGGGTCAACTAATCTTTTAAGGTTGTTGAATCTAGCACTGTAAGTATCTACACTAAGAAATGATACATTTATTATACCTTAGATACAACGATTTTATCATTCCTAAGGTACAATAATTTTATCGTATCTAAGGTACGATAGTATTATCATACCTAAGGAACAATAATATTAATGTATCTTAGGTATAATAATTTTATCATTTCTTAGAGACGATTGTTTTATCATTCCTAAGGAATGATAGTATTATCATTCCTTAGGGATGATTGTTTTATCGTTCTTAAGGAATGATGATATTATCATTCCTTAGGGTTGATTGTTTTATTATTCCTAAGAAACAATGGTATTATTGTCCCTTAAGGACAATTGTTTTATCATTCCTAAGGTACGATGCATTTATCATTCTTAAGGAACGATGCATTTATTATTTCTTAGGGATAATGGTATTATCGTTTCTTAGGGACAATTGTTTTATCGTTCCTAAGATACGATGCATTTATCATTCCTTAGGATGATGGTATTATCGTACTTAAGGCATGATAGTTTTATCATTCTTTAAGGACGATTGTTTTATCATTCCTTAGGGACGATTATTTTATCATTCCTAAAGTATGATGTATTTATCATTCCTTAGGGATGATTATTTTATCATTCTTAAGGTATGATGCATTTATCGTTCCTTAGGGACGATGGTATTATTATACCTAAAAAATGATAGTATTATCATTCCTTAGGAATGATTGTTTTATTGTACTTAAGGAACGATGATTTTATCATTTCTAAGGAATGATGATTTTATTATTCCTAAGAAATGATGGTATTATCGTACCTAAGGAATGATGATTTTATCATTCCTAAGGAAAGATGCATTTATCGTTCCTTAGGGATGATGGTATTATTGTTTATCATTCCTAAGAACTGAACTTTTGGATTTATCCGATTGCTAAAATAATATGATTTAATGTACTATTTGAGTTTATTTATGATATATAGGAATATTTATATAAATAAGCTTAATTTTTTAACTTTTTAAAAAATAATTTCAATCATTTCCAAATTTTCTCTTTTTATATTCCACCAAAATCCCGAAAAAAAATCGTCCTAAGAACAAAAAGACCTAAGTTGAATTTTAATTAATTTTCACCTTCAACTATCAAAATTGGACGAAGAAAAAACTGTATTTTAATTAATTTTTCAAAAATAAACTAATTTTTTTTACTTTTTATAATAGAAACATGTCTCTAACCATCAAATCGGACGAAAATTAAGTTGAAATGAATTGATTTTTTGCTTTTTATAATATAAACATGCCTCTAACCATCAAAATCAGACGAAAATTAAGTTGAATTTTTCTGATTTTTTTACTTTTTATAATGGAAACATACTTTTAACCATCAAATTGGACGAAACTTAAGTTAATTTTAGTCAATTTTTCTGATTTTTTTTACTTTTTATGATAAAAATATGCTTTCAACCATCAAATTAGACGAAACTTAAGTTAAATTTTAGTCAATTTTTCTGATTTTTTTACTTTTTATAATAAAATATGCCTTCAATCATCAAATCAAATGAAACTTAAGTTGAATTATTCTGATTTTTTTACTTTTTATAATAGAAACATGCCTTTAACTATTGTTACATGAAAGAAGATATGGATGATGATGATCAAAAGGATGACATCGATCCTTAAGAAATTATATATGTCTTCTATGTCATCTATGTCGTCTATAGCATATATTTCTTTTATACAATATATTTCTTTCATTTATTTTATCTTATTTATCTCATATATTTATAAGAAATTTATATATGAATATAATATATTTTTTATATTCATAAAAAGTATATTATTACATATAAAAAC